CTATAAATTTAATGTCACTTCAAATAATACATATTCAAAATTCAAACTTTAATCAAATAATAGCATATAATACGAGGAAACCATTTTGGATCGGCAGAGAAACTTACAATTTATGGTTTATCCAAAACTAGTTCCAAAATAGTATTTAATACCATATTCAAAATAATCCAATAAGGATATTTATAACTCCAGAATATATATGTAAATTTTCATACCAATATATAATTTATCCCAAAAGATTTGATCTCACAACACTTTCCAAAAAGAGGGTTTAACCCAAACAACCACTTCCCAAAAGTAGCATTTACTACTACCACCAAAATAATCAAATTGGAGTATTCTGAACCCATAATATATTTTCAATATAATCAGTTATAATAGTCTCAAATCATTCTTCAACTCATACCAAAACAATCACCAAAATTTTCCAATCCCAAAAGAACAATCATCAAAAATCACAATTTTAGCCATGATAAACTGATTTGATAAATTCACCAAAAATCACACGTTCATAAATTCCCAGAAAATCATACATCATCATACTCATACTATTATAGCCGAATTATCCATAAAATTTCAGAAAGAAACTCAAATCATAGCACAAACCCTAGTTTATACAATATAGGGGCAAAATAGTAATTTTGGTTGCAATAGTCCTTACCTCGAGGCTAGCAACGAATCCTAAACGTCAAACCTAGTTTGATGGATCATTCACACGTACCTAGGAAGTGATAGGTTCGAAGGATCTCAATTTAGGAGAAAGAAATTTAGGAAACGGATGAACGACGCGAATTAGGTAACAAACGCACTTACCGGAATATTGGATTGTTTGATCTCATCATTGGCATAAAATTTCGTGCTGGATACGTTAGTATTGAAGAGCTGGAAGGGATAGAGCTTGAAGAGGCGGTCCTAGGGTTTTTGGAATGAGGAAAATCGGATTAGGGATGTATTTATAGTGAATTTCCGAAGTTTGAGTTGCATTAGGATACAACAGGAACGCACGCGTGCGTACCTTCCACGCACGCCGTGCGTGATCCCCAGACGCTCCAAACCTTAGTTTTTGCCCCGTTTCTTCCCCATTTGGACCTCCCCTTTGTCCCAAACACTAAACCAAACATAATAAACGACCTAAAGACCGTGTAAACAATATGAAACACAATTTTAATTATTTCCCAAATTCTCTCAAATTTTCGGGGTATTACACATCTCCCCATCTAGCTCCATCCCCTGCAACCCCAAACTCTGCACCACCACTGCCCCACAGTCGAAGCATCATCACAGATCTGGATGATACTGGAAAGAGAGAGAAGAAAAAGAAGTGGGCAGGGCGAAGCCAAGTGCTAGGGCGACGATGACGAAGAAGACCACGATGAGGGCGGCAAAAACGATGCATGTGCACTGTGTTCTGTTATCGCCGTGAGGGCAAGGAAGACGGCGAAGGTGACAGAAACAATCAGGGAAGCGGAGGCGGCGACGAGCATGGGAGTAGTAGCGACGACAACCTGTCGCTCAGCAGAGGAGGTCGGTGGTTCCGTGTCTGTTTGGAGGAGGGTGAAACAAGCCAAGGAAGTCTGGATGTGACGATAGAGAGAAGGCGTAGAGCTGTGGCTGAATTGGAGTGCGGATGATTTCAATTCTATTTGGGCTGGACTTTTCATTTTAGAGGTGGTCACATTTTTGTCCATGTGTAAAATTGTTACTCCCTCCGTCCCTGATTTTTCTCCCTTTTCGGCCGGGCACTACATTTAAGAAAAAACACTTTTTGGCTAGTCATTTACATTACTGCCCTTTATTTATTTACTGTCTCTCTTAGGGTACTAAACAGTACCCCACAGCCAGCTAAGGCCGTTTTTCCCTTCCCCTTTATTCTCGTACTGCGCACAAAGAAAAGAAAAAAAGTTGAATTTTTGCCTCCACAATAATTGGCGGGAGGTAGTCCAAAAAAAAAACCTAATCCCTCCAAAAATGAAATAAAGACAGCTTTGCTGTCTACATATACGAACCACAATGGGTAATCTGGAAAGAGGACAACAACATGGAAAATACAGAAAGTGTTCAGAAAAAAAAGGCTGTCTAATGAAGTTAGACAACTCATATTGGGGGAACTTCTTCAGAACTCTCAAAATGGAAAGCTGCGTAGAGGCGTACGAACTGCAATAGCAAAGAAATATAACGTATCAGACAAGTGTATCTCATTCATTTTGGAGAAAGCAATGAAATATGGGATGACTGGCAAGGTAGGAAGAAAACCACGGATTCTATCTCTTGCTCAAGTCAAGGACATAGATCTTGACGAAAGAAAGAGTATAAGGAGCCTAGCAACTGCCTTAGGGTACCCCAAAGCAATGTGCACAGACTCATCCAAAAAGGTGAACTCAAAGCACACACAAATGCTATCAAACCATTTCTCACTAAGTCCAATATGATAAATAGACTTCAATGGGTAATCTCACACATACAGAGATCCTCATTACTAACACAGCCCCTATATGAGCCAATGTTCAATTGTGTGCATGTAGATGAAAAATGGTTTTATATGACCAAAAGTTCACAGAGGTACTACCTTCTTCCAGGGGAAGAGGAGCCTCACAGGACTTGCAAGTCCAAGAGATACATCACCAAGGTGATGTTCCTCTGTGCTGTGGCTAGGCCAAGGTTTTCATCAGACTCAACTGTGTTATTTGATGGGAAAATTGGAATTTTCCCATTCACTGAGTTTGAGCCAGAAAAAAGAAACAACAAGAACAGAGTAGCAGGAACAATAGAAGAAAGAGCAATTAATAGTGTCACCAAAGAGATTTACAGAGAATGCCTCATCAGGAAAGTACTGCCTGCCATCAAAGCCAAGTGGCCAATTGATGCATCTGGGGACATATATATCCAACAAGACAATGCCAGACCACATATAGGTCCTACTGACAGTGAGTTCATGAAGGAGGCTACAAGTGAAGGATTTAACATAAAACTAGCATGCCAACCAACTAATAGTCCAGATTTAAATGTACTAGACCTGGGTTTTTTTCAGAGCAGTTCAGTCGTTACAGTAGTCCTCACCAAGTTCATCAGTCTCACATTTAGTGGCAGAGGTGATCAAAGCATATGAGGACTTCTGCCCTCATACCCTAAACAAGGTGTGACTATCACTACAGATGTGTATGAATGAGATTTTGACTCCTAAGGGTAACAACAACTACAAACTACCCCACATGGGTAAGAACAAATTTGAGCAACTACCTATCTCAATTCAGGCAGACACAACAACTATAAAAGAGGTCATACAATTGTTGGAGGCTGCTAATACTCAGGTGTAGGTAGCACTTGGGAATTAGGGTTTTTGGTTTGTGTATAATTTTTGGGTAACAAAGACAAGGTGTAATGGTTTTTGGGTTTTTGGGTTTTTGGGTTTTTGGCTCCAGACAGACAATCATTTTTGTCTTTTTGTCTTTTTTGGTTTGGGGTACATCTATAGATAATGTACACAAACAAACACTGTCAATAGCAACTTGACACTTTGTCTTAAATTTTGAGTAACAACACAGACTATGCATCCTAGAAGATGGCTTATAGGATTCTCAGATTATGCATTTTAGCATCATAGAATCCTAGAAGCTGGCTTATAGGATTCTCAGACTATGCATCTTATCATCACAGAATCCTGGAAGATGGCCTAACCCACATCAAACACATCATATTCTCGGGCAAGGTGCTATATCATCACAGAAAGAACAGACAGATGGCTTAAGCCAACAAAGGATTAACCTTTGTGGCTTAAGCACTTCAAGACTTAGGCACACACATAGCAAACTAACCACACACAAATTGGTACAAGTCCAAACATGAAGGAATCAGATAGTCATCATCACAAACAAGAATAAGTAAAGATCTACAACCTCCGTTTTTTTAGGGACATGTAGCCATGCATCAATCGTTTCATCCATACGACGTTTCGCACTTGGATATGGAATGTGATGATCACGGGCAGACATCACATATTCCTCACTGCTTGTATCCACTGGACTTAGGTAAATGGCAAGAAATTCATCAACGACAGATGGAACAGTCTTAGGGCCCAATCCCTGTTGTAAACCTCTCTTCTCGCCATCAGCATTCCACTCTCCTTCCATGTTGTCTTCAATCCTAGGTGTCTGATTCTGATCTTCAGAGTCAGGGACGTCGAGCCAACTCAAGGCATCCACTAGACTTAGGTAAATGGCAAGAAATTCATCAACGACAGATGGAACAGTCTTATGGTCCAATCCCTGTTGTAAACCTCTCTTCTCGCCATCAGCATTCCACCCTCCTTCGATGTTCTTCAACCCTAGGTGACTGATTCTGGTCTTCAGAATCAGGGACGTCGGGCCAACTCAACGCATTGACTGAGTCTTCAACCACCGCATCGGCATGCATGACCTTCAATGGCTCGTTTTTGGCCATTATTGGATCTACAAAACCTAAAATTGGTATCGGTGGGAGGCCTTATCAAAAGAGGGTGCAAAAAAAAATGAAGAAGTGAATGGAATCGGGTGTTGGAATGGGAGAGGCGAGAGAGAAGGAAGCTTCAAGAAGAGACGAGAGAGATGAATACAAGCCGACATAAGAGAGAGAGGAGCGTTTACGAAGTAATAATGGGCGGTTGGGTGTGTGGTTGTAAAATGTGGGGATATTATTTGTGGGTAGATATAATAAAGATTGTAAGGGTATTAAGGTAAAATGATATGGTAAAAGTTGCTAAAATAGGAAAGTAGGATATAATATTGGGATGGATCAAAAAGGAAAGTTTGAAGATAATTCAGAGACGGGTGGAGTATATTTTTGTGCATTCAAAGTCCCTAATTAATATTTTAGTCATTCTTTCTATTTAATGTTATAATTATATTTAGGGAATTACGAACATAGTTTCATTTATATTTATTTATATTTTAATTTTAGTGCGGACAATTTTTCAAGTTTATTTATAGAGAGCAACGTAGCATAACCGAAGGATACTGAGCTGTCTACCTTTCAGACATGCGCCACCTGTAACCGCCCATCAACGCTACTGACATCCCGGCGCCGCTCACCCCCTCCCCCCTATACGCCGGTGTAATTTCTGCCTTTGCTTTCAAATCCCCACCGCCAAAATCGTCATAATGACGCCGTCCTCAGGCGGGTCCCTGGCGGACGCGATTCCCCGCGTCGACCTCAACAAGCTCACTCAGTCCGAGCTGCTCGCGCTCTCCCTCTGCTCCTGCTCCGCCTTCGATACTCGCCACACCGAAGACCTCGTCCTCCCTCAAGTTGACCGCTCCCTCTTCAATAAATCCGCCTGCAGCAAGCGCCAGACCTACTCTCGCCTCGGCCGTCACCACCACCGCACCCACCGCTTCCCTCCCGCTTCCAGCCCAAAACCCATTTCCTCCGCTGACCCTGCCAACCGCGCGGTAGTACATTACCTCAAATGCTTTTTGCAAAATCCCAATTCCATCTCTCCGCCACCTCCTCCGTCTTCTCTCCCTACTCAGCCGACTGGGCCGACTCTTGAGCAGAGGACTGATCTTCTGGCGCATGCAGGGAACGTGAAGAGTAAAAAAGGAGCCAAGGCTGATGTCTATATGAAGAAGAGGTCATGGGCGGGTGGGGTTGAGGGTGATTTGGAGCTGGTGAATAAGAACAGTGTTGTGGTTGATTTTGCGAGATTGGAGGATAAAGGGGATGTAGTGTTTAATGAGGAATTGAGGAGTAGAACTGTTGGACTGGAGAGCGAGGAGGAGGTTTTAGGATTTGTGAGGAGCTTGGAGGGGCAATGGTGTAGCAGGAGGAGGAAGAGGAAATATGTTGATGCTAATGAGTTTGGGGACACTTTGCCAGTTGGTTGGAAGCTTTTGGTAGCCCTTAGAAGAAGGGATGGCCACGTCTCTCTTTATTGTCGCAGATACGTGAGGTATTTTTCTTAGTTTATCACTATTTGAATTTGCTGCAATTTGTTTAGGTTCCATGCATTATTGTGTCTTTGCTTGACTTCATATTCATATATGTTTCTTGTTAAACTTCGAAGCCTGTTTTGCAACTAAATTACAGGTCATGTTTTGTTGGTAAAGTCTGCAACTTTTTCACCAGGATGCAAAACTAATATTCTAATCAGATGAAGAGATATATGATTCTTGAAATATCATTGTCATCTCTATGGGAGTAATCTGCTATTTTGTTGCATGGCTTTGAGAACTTAATTATATACATAACTCCTGAAGAATCATGGTCATTGAGAACTTAATTATATACCTAAAGGATGGTGTTATAACCATTTTTTACTAATTTTCACAGAAAATATCAATAATCCTTGGCCAACGAACTTTTCCAGCTTCATTAGGTTTAGGTGAGAAATATATGAGAGAAATGGGCGAAAAGATATTTAGAAGAGAGGATAGGGTAAATCTTACTTGTTGTTTGTTAAAACTGGGGAGTTGGGAAACTGTTTTAGAAAATCTGGCGGATTTCTCAGAGTATCGTGTGATCACTTTCCGAATCTAATATTTCGACCCTATGCCCGGGTTACACGAAATTTAGATTATAGGGATAATCACTCTAAGAGACAGTCTAAAACTGAGGCACCAATATATAGACCACGAACTAGCAGTTTTAGTATAACTCGAATTCTTCTGATTACCAAAGAGATAAGGCCAATCAGTTAGAGTTTTACTCTAACAGAAAGTCATTCTATTAAATAATTAATATGGACATGTTTATCCGAAAATAAATTTTCATATTTATTTCTTTAATAAAATAAAATTTTGGACCCCGCCAGGGGCGCTGCCCCTTGGACCCCGCAAGGGGGCGCAGCCCCCTTGACCCCCGCCATTTAATCGAACCAAGTTTAAGTTTAATTTCGTACAAGTGTGCGCTACGCACCTTCTAACTTGTCTAAAATTAAACTTGAACTCCATTGGTAATTTGTAAATTCCATTACACTAAAATGAACCTGGTGATACTAAAATCACCAACATTGTTTGGTAGAGAAGAAAAGGGTAGAAATTGGGAGGATATTTCTCCCCATAAGAGAGAAGAAATAAAAAGGAGGTGATACCCACCCTATTTTTCTCTTGCCATTTCTCTGGTCACCCAACCAGAAGTATCCTCCATTTTTGTCCTATTTCTTTCTCTTCCATTCCACCTTAACCAAACAAAGACTAGGTGTTTATTAAAAGCACCGAGAAGTTAACCCTCTCAACCCCCATAAAAGAGCATACATCATTCCGGGAAGAGAAGTTCAATGTAATGTATATATCCCATGCAATCGAAGACTGAATTGCATGTCCTTCATCTTGAAAAGAATTAAAGTAACTAAAGCAGTTCCAAGGTGACAATGCTTATATTGTTAATCTTAGACCATAACAAGTTTACACTCCAATAGCTGCATCTGGAGTTGTGGGCTTTTGCCAATCTTTGCATAGAAATGCCCTTGACAGTTTCTTGGAACATATGCTATCTTCTCTTCATTTCTAGATGTGTTCTTGTCTCATAATTTTTCAGCCCTAGCGGTCAACAGTTTCTGTCATGCAAAGAGGTAGCGGCCTTCTTGCGCTTCCACCATATGTCGATTGATGCAAACCAGCTCAAAGACCACATACCATCACCCATTACGCGGCTTACTGGTTCAAACTCTGAAAAGGTAAGCGTCATTCTCCCTCACAGCTTTTGTAGAGTGATAATGTTCTACTTGTGCATTAATAGAGACATTTCCAGAATGTAGGTTGTCTCCATGGTCATGTTTCTAGCAACCTTGACTTAGTTCTCCATTCAAATCTACCTGCGAATGAACTTTTCCTATCAGAGATTGATAATCTTCCCGATGTTCAAGTTAAAGACCTCTTTGAGTGTGATAAATGCAACCTGACATTTCAGGAAAAAGGTCCATATTTTGAGCACCTGTTATCGTTTCACCAGCACACCACAAAGAGGATTAGGGTCGTGCCGCCTGTTAGTGAGGGCGTTATAATTACAGAAGACGGAAAGTATGAATGTCAGTTCTGCCACAAGGTATTTGAAGAGAGGCATCGTTACAATGGTCATGTAGGAGTCCATGTGAGAAGCAACAGTAAAGGTTTTGAAGGATTATATGTGCAGAAAAGTGTTGACACCCTAACCCTCCATAATGGATTTCCTTCAATAACCCCTAAAATAGATGCATTAAAGGAAATTGCTCATAATTCCATGAACTCCTTACCTGCTATTGTAAACTCAAATGAAGCAGAAGCTGCAAATACCGGCAAAGATATTGATCCAATAATGAATCCAAGAGAGGTGGAGTTTATTGATGTCAATAATGAAAAAACATTGGACTGTGAATTAAATCAGAGTGATAAAGAAAACCAGCGGGCAGTTAAAGAAATTGTTAAGACTTGTGAAACACAGGTTACTAAGGTTAATCTGATTGAAGCTTCAAAAACTCACTGTGAGCCCCCTGAGGTGAGCAACATGCAAACGTGTGACCCTCCAGAGAATGATGCAGTCGTTGGTGGAAACGAGCAGAGTGAGGCATATAACTGTAATGTTGTACCAGAGACCAATGAGATGACTCTTGAGGAAAACGTTTTCCAGGAAGGGGTAACAGACTCATCCATGGCTTTTTCAGACACATTAAACTACTTCCATACCTTCACAGCTAGGACAAATAAGGTAATTGAGGCTCTTCCATCTGTGTCTTTAATGCCAAATCACTCTTATTTTGAGAAACTGCCACTATGTGCTAGCTTTTCGATTTTCACCTGTCTGTTAATAGAATGCCGTTGTTAATCATATGTCGTAATATAAACAGTACTTATCACCGTGATATGTATCTCTGATCAAAAGACTGCATCTTCTTCTGTGTTTCGAACCACTAGGTAAATTTTGAGGTTGATTACTTCATTCGATTCGATAGACAAATACATTTCTTGGAGATAGTTTTAGAATAATTGTCAAGCTGATTGTTTAATTTACAGATATTGGTGCAAACAGCAACTTTGGGCCAACAGACAATTGAACTTAAAATTAGAATCCATATTGGTTTCAAGCCATGACCTTATTTCATAATAATTCACGTACAGGAACAAGATGGGTTTTGTGTGTTGAAGATTGAGAATGAAATGAGCTTCGAGGAGCTGACATTTGATGATATAGAGCCATTTAAATATGACTTTTCCGAGGGTCATAATGGGTGTGGGATGGAAGCGGCTTTTAACTCCACCTCCTCCCTTGGATTTGGTTCAGGGGAACCAACTGTCTTAATAAGCAGGGGCAACACAAACCAGCTTACAACCGTGTGCGTGTGGTGCAGATCAGAGTTCAGTTTGGAAGCTTTTGAATCAGAAAGTCAGTCGGACTCTATTGGATATATGTGTCCAGAATGCAAGACCAAAATATCTGGGCACTTGGACAATGGTCTTTCGTTGACTTCTCATGACTTCTGATCTATCTGCTGGTCACACATGCATAACCACCTTCAATTCTTGAGGTATTTCTCTCCTAAATAAGTAGTTATTTTTAATCCTACTCCGGTTTGACATACCTGCATAATAGTTAATGCCCGATTAGTCCCTCAACTATTATTATTTTTATTATGAAGGGTATGTTTACTTAAGGAATTTAGACTCAGGTTGGTCCTGGGGCATGTTTTACTCTAATTACGAAGGGTATTTTTGTCTGTTGAATACAAATTACATTGTTGAGGAGTGAGAACTGATTTTGGTTTAAATTTTGTGAAGCTACAAAAATACCCCTGTGATGTAGATTCAAATACTACCCCTGTCCCTTAAAACTTTACCAACTTTCCTTTTTTGGATGTCCCACTAACTTTGACACTTTCCCTTTGAAGTAAAGAATTTGTGGTTCTAGTTAATTCTCTCTCCTCTACACAAACCTCAATCACACAGTTTTTACTTTATTAATCCCCGTGCCGGTCAAACTTGTCAAAGTTTTAAGGGACGAAGGTACTGAGGTAGTATATATTACCTCCGTCCCATTGGACCTTGCCAATTTTATGTTTGGTGTGAAATAAGAAAAGCAATAATTGTGTGGTTGAGATATGTGCAGAGAGGAGAAATAAGCAGAAACACATATTCATTGCTTGAAAATTGGCAAAGTTTTTGAAGCAAACAAGTAAAGTTGGGAAGCCCAGCGGGATGGAGGGAGTATGAGAAACATATCAGTCCAAACTGCATATAGTAGAGGAACAATTTGAGTCCCAAAAAAGTTGATGACCAAATTGAGAAACAGTGTATGTATGATGGAGGGACTAAACCGGGTATAGATTATACTCGCTTCTTCTCCAGTGTAGACCAATACATCCATTTCTGCATAAGAAATCAACTTTCAATGCAACAACTTTTTTGAACACTAATACAAAGTAGATGCAGAGAACAGAGTTACAATTAAAAGCTGGTTATTTTCTTCTGTTTTCTTTGCAGTGTGCTGTATTTTGCAATGGACCTCCTTTTCTAAGGTGAGACTCTGACCATATATGTATAAGCATGTGTGACTATACCCGAGCCGGCCGAGCGCCATTCAGAAAATGTGGGAATACTTATATATTCATACTGTGCATTACGTAGTATTAGGGCTGTCAAAGGTAGCAGAATAGGCTATTTTTTAGGTGAGTGGTTGATGTAATCAGACCAATATACAGAAGAGGATATGTAAATATATACTCCGTTTGTATTTGCAACACCTCATGGTTTAGCTTGATGTTTGTAGAACTATTACTGTTAAGCTGTATTATTATTCTGAATATTATAATTATTAAAAATGCCATGTATATTACTAGTTTAAACCTAGTGGACAAAAATATCACTAAAAGCTACTACCTCCGCCGCCCTGTTATTGGGACACAGGGGAGTGGTGTGGTTTTTAAGAAAACTAGAGTTATGTAGTTGATAATTAATTGATAAAGTGAGAATAAAATGAGAATGAATTAGAACACACAAGTATTACCAATTACCAAATATGATATGAGACAAATTTTGTGAGACAGACGAAAGAGGAAATATGGGACAATTATAGTGGGACAGAGGGAGTACTTCATATTTAATTATTTATTTAAATTAAGTGAAATACACTTGTTTTGTTCCTGATTTGTCCTCCCATAAGTTACTTCATCAGTTAAATACTCCTTCCGGTCCCAAATAAACTTCACACTTTCCTTGTTGGCAGGTTTAAAATAAACTTCACACTTCTATTTTTGGCAACTTTTTAATATAAAGTTATTCTTACACCCTTACTTTATTACCTACTTTACACACTTTTTCTCTTCCACTACAATTTATCTACTTTTTGGGAGGCATAATGAGAAAGTCAAAACAAAAAATTCCACTTTCTAAAAAATCGTAAAGTCAAACTATGAAGTTCTTTTGGGACCGGAGGGAACATACATCAATTATTACTTGTTCGTCACATAAGTTGCTTTATTTCAATTTCTCAATCGCAACGTTACCATTAGTGGTGGACTCGGGTCGGGCCACCCGGCCCGTTACTGTGCGGGATCGGGACTGACCCGGTTCTCGGGTCCGGGTCCGGGCTCGGGTCTCACATTTGGCGAACCGGCCGGGTCGGGCCCGGGTCCGGGCTATTTTTTTTTTTTCATTTTTGGGGTTCCACCCGGGTTGGGCTTGATGGTTAGGAGGGGTTTGGGAGGATGGGGGGGTGAGGGGGGGGGGGTGTTAGGAAAGCAAAAAAAAAATACCCAAACCGGAGGCCCAGACCCGGTGGCTACCCGGGCCAGTCCTGGGTCCACCAATCCTGAACCGCCGGCCAGCTCGGGCCTAGGCCCGACCCAGATCCGACCAGGCCCGAATCCACCCCTAGTTACCATATCACAAATGTACTCCGTATCACAAGCCATGTATCCTTTCGCAAAGTTATTGCCCCTGTTTGTTTTTCGGAGGTTCGGCCCTTATACGCTGCTTTTAGCAGTGTTTGTAGTTAAAAAACAAGGGAAATTTTCACAAATAACCTAAAATTGAAAATAATTTCATTTTTTACCATCTTAGATTCATATTTCAAAAATAAGCTAAGTAGTTTACTATTTTCAAAAAGGTTCATATATAAATATACCCAATTTAGAAACTCATAGCAAGTCCTCGTCTCCAGCGCGCTAAATTCGGAACCGATCACGTTTTTCTAAGCTGCGAAGAAATCCAACGATCTCAGCTCTTCTTACCAGGTAATTACAAAGTTCAATTAGTCATCTCCAATTCTACCGATAAAACAAGGTCCGATTATTAGCTATATGATCATAAATTATGAAGCTAGAATTCGTTTAGTGATTCATCGGTTAGTAAGATTTGTTTCTTGTTTTGAATAATTGTAAGTTTTGTTTCTGATGAATGATTTCTTCTGTTGTTTACAAAATAAACTGATGAATTCAATAAATGTTGTTTTTGTTTGTGGACATTGCAATACTCTGTACACTTATTTGTAGTTCATTAAGAACGAACGATGTTTATTATTAATAATAACAGGAAACATGGAAACAATTCCTATTTTTGTTCATCACGATGGTCATTGGAATGAAGGAATGGAGTATGTGAACTTCAATGTGTTTGAAATTACTTTAGCTACAAACAGTTCTTATCCTGAGTTGATTGCAAAGACAGGAGACAGGATTAGAATAGAAAGACAATCATCTACATTGATAATTCAATACAAAGTCAGAGAGAATTATTCACCATTGATGATAGAAGATAACTCAGCTCTATTGTTTTATTTACACCTTAAGAAACAAGAGATAGATGTGACCAAATTCCCTCTCTGCATATATAAACCTTGCTGATGTACATGAGGAAACAACTTGCAACATGTTTCATGGGGGATATCAACAAGAAAAAACAAGTAGCCTGCAAGCAGTGACAATGTCTGAAGATAGCTCAAAAATCAGTGAAGAGTTGGACATTAATGGTTTTATATTAGCTCGGGCAAATAAAACAACTTAAGCACTACTGCAACAAAAATGTGTGGAGTTAACATCAACAAATTGCGTTAACAGTGACGTTCATCCTGAAGCAGGACTGATTTACATCAACAGGGATGAGTTCAAGAGAGCACTTAAGATGTATGCTATCAAAAATCACTCCCAGTACAAGGCACATAAGACAAATAAGAAGTATTTTGCAGCAAAATGCTTGCACGAAAATTGCAGCTGGGAAATAAGATCAAAGCAAACTGGAACCTTGGGAAGGTTCATTGTTGTGAAGTTTATACAAACACATTCTTGTAGATTGGAAGTGAGATTAACAGATCAAAGACATGCAACATCTAGTTTGGTAGCAGACTGTATTAAGTCTAAACTAGTGGATCCAAAAACATCATATAATGCAATGGATGTACAGAGAGATATGTTAGAGGAGTATGACATTGAAATAAGCTACTTAAAAGCGTGGAGAGCAAAAGAAAAGGCATTGATTAAGCTAAGAGGAAAACCAGAAGAGTCCTACAGGTTTCTGCAACAATTCATGAGTATGGTGAAACAAACAAATCCTGGATCTTTTCTGGAAATCAAAGTTAATGAAGACAATACTTTTTTATATGCATTCATGGCAATCAATGCATCAATTCAGGGATGGAAGTTCTGCAGACCGGTTATGGTAGTTGATGGCACATTCCTGACTGGGAGATATGGGGGCACACTGTTAACAGCATCAACACAAGATGCATGTGGGAAAATATTTCCACTTGCATTCTGTGTTGTTGATTCTGAAAATAATGAATCATGGAGATGGTTTTTCTTAAATATTAAAGAAGCTTTTGGTTATAGGAATGAAATGGTAATTGTTTCTGATAGGCATGAGAGCATTGCTAAAGGTGTGATAGAAGTATATCCCGAATGTGAACATGGGGTATGCATTTACCATTTGTTTAACAACCTAAAGACAAGGTTCAAAAGAAAAACAAAAAAAATGAAAGACAGTTATTTTGAAGCAGCAAAAGCTTATACAAGAGAGGAGTTTGACTGCCATATTAAGGAACTGGAGAAGATTGATGAGGAAATAGTGTCATATATGTACACAGTTGGGTATGAAAAATGGGCTAGAGTGTTCTCAATCTCCAAAAGGTACTCAACCATGACTTCAAACATAGCAGAATCACTAAATGTTGTACTGAAGAAGATAAAAAATCTGCCAATAACTGCTTTGCTAAAGTTCTTGCACACATTGGTACAAATATGGACACATGTAAACCGAAATGGTGCAAGAAATACATTCACACAACTTGCAAGAGTTCCACATGAAACTCTAGAACAGAATTACATGAAATGCATGAAACTGAAGGTACATAATTCATACATAATATAACTTCTTAACTTTGTATATAAATTGTTAACAAAATTGTATTTTGTATAAAATTTTAATTGCAGGTGATTCCTTCTACTGAGGTGATATTCAGTGTCTATGATATGAACATAATCTTCATTGTTAATCTAGAGGACAAAACATGCACTTGTAGGAGGTTTCAAATGGATGAATTGCCTTGTACGCACGCACTGGCAGTACTAAAAAAGATAAATCAAGAGCCGTACAGATTTTGCTCATTTTACTACACAAAGGAAACATTGCTACAAACTTATAGTGAGACAGTGCATCCTATTCCAGATCAAAAAACATGGCAAATGCAGATTTCTGAGCCAATCTTGCAGGTTTATCCACCACATGCAAGGAAAAAGGCATGAAGGCCGAAAAAGCAGAGATATAAAGCACACTGGGAGACTACAACAAAAAACAAATGTGGGAAGTGTGGAAACAAAGGACACAATAGAAAGACATGCAGGAATGCACCCCAAACGTAGAAACCTTAGCTAGTTTGAGAAGTGTTTTTGCTATTTTTATCTATCATTTCTGTTGAATGTCAATTCAAATGTGCATGAACACTAGTAGCTGTGAATTCTATATGACTGTGTGTGTATTTAAAATGGCAGAAAGTACAAAGTTCGAATTACATATGAGACTAGAAACAATAAGAAACAAAACAAAACAGTTGAAGAAACAAATAAATTTTTTAAAAACAAAGAGCAACAATAAAATACAATTTTCTAACTTGTTTGAGAAATGTTTTGTAATTTATCTTTATTATTTCTGTTGAAGGTCAATTAAATAGAGGATATTTCTGAATTCTATATGACTGTGTGTTTATTTAAAAAATGGCAAAAAGTACAAAGTTCGAATTACATATGAGACTAGAAACAATAAGAAACAAAACAAAACAGTTGAAGAAACAAATAATTTTTTTTAAAACAAAGAGCAACCATAAAATACAATTTTATAACTTGTTTGAGAAATGTTTTATAGTTTATTTTTATTATTTCTGTTGAAGGTCAATTAAACAGAGGATAATCCTGAATTCTATATGACTGTGTGTGTATTTAAAATGGCAGAAAGTACAAAGTTCCAATTACATATGAGACTAGAAACAATAAGAAACAAAACAAAACAGTTGAAGAAACAAATAAATTTTTTAAAAACAAAGAGAAACAATAAAATACAATTTTATAACTTGTTTGAGAAATGTTTTGTAGTTTATTTTTATTATTTCTGTTGAAGGTCAATTAAACAGAGGATAATTCTGAATTCTATATGACTGTGTGCTTATATTACATAAAGTAAACTACAAGTATGGATTTAATTATGAAACATTGAAACAAAAAGAAACAACAAAAAACAGACGAAAAACAACACATTGCATAAAAACATCGCGAAACAAGTACAAACAATTGAGGAAACAACTACTAAGTTGTATAAATAAGCTATACCAGTAAGATGGAAAAAATAACTACAAATTCCGTAGACAAAAACCAGAATGCAAAAGGCTAAAAAAGAGCTTTGGAATATAAGAAGAAAATCAGAAACAAAAATAAACAACAACAAACCAATATAAGAAACAAATAGAAACGAACAAAATACAAGACATATATTGGTAGATAGAATACATGAACTGTGTGAGAACAATACAAAGAAAGATGTTCAAAGGTAGCAATTAACATACGGTTTTTACATTTACCCAAAAATAAAAAACATATCAACTTAACAAGGAATGTTTACAATACGCATATTAGTCGTGGCTACATTTATCTAATGCTTCAGCTTCTTGCGCTTGTGTTTGACTTGATCACAATCACTCTCCACTTCACCATTCAGCTTAGATACTCCATACTGATAAAGAAAAAAGGCAAGCCTCGATCTGTATAGCTCAATATCCAAAAATGAAGGAAGCTCTATGCCATCAATGAAATATTCAGCAAAAGCAGCAACATAAGCCCCATAGTCACTAAAAAAAGAATAATCAACATCAATATTTGTATTAGTAATAAAAGAGATAATGCATAAAAGAAAATCATTATAATAAGACAAATAGACTTACGTTGACTCTTGGACAGGCAAATTGGTCATGAATTTCATATCTAAGTTCTTATTAAGATCCATTGCACGTTTAGAAAAGTGATCCATGTGTCTAAAAAACAAAGGCAACATCACAATATATGGCTTCACAGCTTCTGAAGCATGAGCTATATCCCTTGCACTGACCATGGAATTATAAACATATATGCACCAATCATTAATGCAAAATCTAGCTAGAATCCAATGCATTTGTTTCTTAATGTAAATTGGAATAAAAACATGATCAACTTCTTCCCAAGACTCTGAACAAGGCAACTGAAAGCCTACAATATAGTCACATAGACTTGCAAATTTGGACCAAGAAAATTATTTATCTTGGGTTGCAGCATATGCTTTCAGAACATTCACATTAAAAAGAGTATCAGTTGTTGTGAAACTGATTTTGCAAGTCTTAGTAACTTTAGCCTTCTTCCTGAAGTAATAAAAGATCACATCTAAATGCTGCAAGAAAAAGGGAAATAGGGAACTAATAAATAAATATGAACACATGATAATAATCTTCACAAAAGTAAATAAACATACAGAATCTGATATAAAGTGTCCCAAATAATAAAGAGAGTGGAACCATGTCTTCGATTCCACAAAAGCAACGGTAAAATCATATCCAGGCGTCAGATGATCAATTTTAGAAGGATACATCAACTTTGATCTACAAAATTATAAAAAATATGTGAAAAACCAAACTATAATAAAATTGAAATGTATGACATTACTGTTAAACAACCTTTTACGCTTATAAGCTCCTTCATCGATCCAAATGTTAAAAGCAGAAAGAATGGAAGGCGGTGGAACACAGTTTGCCTCATCGACAAAAGGACATAAAAGGTTGATAGTACAAGCCTGTACAGACCCACATCCAGAATCAAACTCCCCAACAAAAGGAGATTTGACAAAAGTACTTGGCTTCACATGCCTCTTTTTCCTAAGAATTGATTCAGGTGTATGCTCTACAGTAATGGGGGGAACAAATGGCACATAAGGAACCAACTCCATCGAAGGAGTTGTAGAACCTAAACCAGGATCATTGGTAGAAGACTACAAAAAAGTTAAATAAATAAACAATACTAGTATAATATAAAAAATATAAAGTAAACAATACAGAATACGAAGTCACAATACAGAATACGAAGTGAACACCTTGGAATTTTTAAAATCTGAAACAAGAGAATCAAGCTCAGCAAAAAAACCATCATCCTCAACCACATCATCACAGCCAGAATGTCACACCCCGGACCTAGCCGGACACGTCAACAACCCGCCGTACAGTACGAATAGTCAACCGCAGTTCAACTCATCCATACTATACAAGGCGTCATGAATATCATTCACACATAGTACATCCATAAACAAACATAATGCAAAATATTCATTTAAAGCAGCGGAAACAATATTACAAGTGTTCAAGCCACACTTGGCATCATTAGGCATACAAGCCCCCAAATAATTATTTAGGAAATAATATCCATGAGCATTATTATATTTGTTTTGAAACTGAGACGGAGGAAGCACGAACCACGTCTTCTCTCCTAGATCTTCCCGAAGCAACGGGCCCTGGTAGCAAGCTCAACTCCTACCTGAAACTGTGAGGTGGCCTCCCCCGTGAAGGGGAGGTCAGTACTTGGAAGCATTTGACAAGTACAATGACAACTATACTAAGTATAATCAATGTTTCAATTTCTAAGACCCTCAATCTAGGGTGGTATTATATTATAGGCCATAACCCTCGGTTACCCCTTTTTAAACATATACTTACTTTATATAGAGTCAAGTAGTTGGCCCGTGGCCCATATTCGTTTTTGAAATGCCCACCCCTATTTCCCCGTGACTACTAGTCACGATTGTTATAACCTTCGGTAAATTATATTACCGTCATGGGGCATTTCTTAATTACATTATTTAGCCATCATGGAGCCTCGCTCAATCTTATTATCATACCGTGCTAGAGCCTCACCCTTAGCCATCTACATTTATGCTAGAGCCTCGCTCTTAGTCATCAACATTAGGCTAGAGCCCCGCTCTTAGTCAACCTACCTTCATACTAGAGCCTCGCTCTTAGTCATCTACATCTGGCTAGAGCCTCGCTCTTAGTCAATCTACATTTATGCTAGAGCCTCGCTCTTAGTCATCTACGTCTGGCTAGAGCCTCGCTCTTAGTCAATCTACATTTATGCTAGAGCCTCGCTCTTAGTCATCTACGTCTGGCTAGAGCCTCGCTCTTAGTCAATCTACATTTGTTAGAGCCTCGCTCTTAGTCAAGTTATTCGATTCCTAAGCCAATTCTATGCCTAGAATCATTTTACCTTGAGTAGCCTTTAAGACCTACTCCTAACATATCTTAGAGCTCATACATTCCGACCCTTAAGTATCTCTTAGGACTACTTGAGGCATCTCTATTCACAATCCTATCTCTTAGGATTAAGTTCATCATTTATTATTCTCAATCTCCCGACTAGTATTTCAATACTAGTCGGATAATCTTAGAACAACCATGTTCTTAATTCATAACCAACATTTCATTCCAATTGATTTTCCAATCCAAATACAATTTAATCTCAATATCAAGAATATCACTTTTATCCATTCATGAATTCTATACATGAAGTAAAAGTATATTTTATCACAATATTTTCATAGTTAATTCCATTATCATGCCATCACTTTCATATCACATAATCATACACAATTTCCCCCGAATTTGTATATCATGCTTCATTTACTCATAAACAATAGTATTTTCATTTAGGCATTATTAATCATTAATAATCCATGAAAGTCACATTTAACAACTTTAGGTAATCTTACGAAATTAACTCACTAATTATAAACAATATAGTCAGTCATCCTCACCTTAAATATGTCCAGCAAGCCTTCCTATTGAAGCCCCTTCGTTAAACCTTCGATCGAAAATGATCCGAAATGGACTTGGCTGGCAGAGGGCAAAAGCCGCCCGGCTTTTGCAAAAGCTGCCCGGCTTTCGGGCCCTGCAGCACGAAAACAGCTCCTAGAAATGGCGGTTTCCGGCGATTTCGATTCCTATCGATTCCACAACCCATCCAAGTTAAATACCAACACTTTATATCTTTTTTCTACACTTTTAAACGTGTAGAACATCTCCTAGAATCCATCACATGATTTCTATAAAATCATATACGAAAAATATATTAAACGGAAGAACAAGAACCGGAGCTACGAGATTCTTACCGTTAGGCTTCGTTTTCTATCGGATTTCCTTCTCTTCTTGACTCCCTTCCTTCTTGATTCTATGTGGTATGCGTATGGAGCTCTCCAGCCCTCCCCCTCCTCTTGTGTCTTACGCACAACCTCTCAAAATGAGGGGATAAGGAGACCCCCTCCTTTATCTATCTATTTTTAGAAAGGTTGGGCCAATTTAGTTGGGTCGGGTTCGCGGGCTGCTCTTTTTAATTTACTCCGACCCAAATGACTTTTATTCGATTACTTATATTATTTTAGGCTAGTAGACCTCAATAGATCGATCCTAAAATGTATTGGATATCC